GGCGTGGTGGGATGGGGTGGGATAAAGGGCGGGGTGGGGTGGGACAAAGGGCGGGGTGGGGTGGTGTGGGGTGGGACAAAGGGAGGGGTTGGGTGGGATGGAACAAAGGGCGGGGTGGGGTGGGATGGGACAAAGGGCGGGGTGGGCCGTGCCCAGCGTCGCGGCAATTAAGCTTTCGCCACCAAATTTCGCCGTTGATTTGAGATTTCACGACCGGATGGTGGGTCAGTGTGATAGCTGTGATCCCGTAAATCCGTTCAGTCAACATGTTTGGATTAAATTTGTAAAACAATCTCCTCATGGCATGCTGAAGATCGGTTATTTGCTGTGTCAAAGCTCTACATTTACTGACAGGCGCGCAGGCGGGGCGGTACAGGGGGGGGGGGGGGGCGCATGTCCCCCTCTCCCCTCCTCATGCTTAGGTCCTCCCGAGGGGCCCTTCAGGTCCCTCGGATTGGACAATGGAAAAACCGATTAGACGCCCCACCGCTAGAGGCCATATTAAAAGACTCCAACCCACAGGGCAGCGCCCTCAAATGACAGTCAAACGAACCTCTTGCCCTGCCTGGGAACTTCTGGAACAATGCAGAACAGTCACCTCCGCGTCTGTCTGGAATCTGCAGCCCGTTTCCCAAGCATGGACAAGGCCAGGACCCGCCAGTGTTACTGGAGACCTCTGACGTTAGCTGGGTCCATTGAAACAATGGGGCCTCCCTGTGTCGACGAGGGCCTACAATGCCATACTGGGTAAAGCTCAAGAGCTCCATGACGCATGTCCTGGATCGGCAAAGGGCTGAAAGTCGACTAGGGGCACATTTGCTGAATAGGGACGCAAACGGAATCCAGGGGGATGAATGAGCTCTTGGGTTGGTCGGGGTCCCCTGGCAAGGAAATAATACATGATAAATGACAACAAAAGGGTTGACAATGAGACACTATTGAAAGCATTGTATCGGTCATGGGTTTGTGACAATTATTGGACTCCCTACGCCGGCAAGGAATCATTTTGCTCCCATGTGGGCCCTCTGTCGATCCGGGGCCAACTGCGCCAGTCAAGGAAGGAACTGATGCACAATGCACTCAGACTGATGTCGACTGACAGACTGACAGACAGACTGTCAGACAGACTGACTCAACTGATGCACTCAGAACTCCTCCGGTTAACGCATGTCAACAACCTTCGGGATCAAAAACGCCAATACAAGGCGTTAGAGTCTCCCTCGATCCGACCTGCGTTGGTTGCCACTTCTAACACCAGGTGGCGGGCGACGCGCGGGAGGGAACTGCTTTGAGATCTTTGAGTAATGCCTTGAGATCTTCCAATAGCTTTAACAATAAATTAGCACAGTTGAAAAGCTACGAAGGTCCGCATGAGCCTGCTCCGTGTGAATCCGGTCCAAAACGGTTTCGATCTCTGTATGAAGAGGCTCTCCAGCCCTGCACTGCACGGTGGTACCTGTTTCTTGCTGCTTTCTACTGAGAGTACTTTGCACTTCTTACTGCTTGGAAAACACGCCTTCACGATCCCTGGATAGCAGTCTCTCGTCGTTTTTACTGGCCGTTCACTCTTTGCGTTGATTTACGCAAAGATTTCACTGCAACACGAACGTTATGAAATGCTGATGCAAGTACAAACATTAGTGTGTCATTGTGCAGCATTACGGCAGTACTTACGTCTTAGAGTTCTTTGCTTTGGGACGTGAAACCAAATGCAAAACCGCGTTTTTGTCGCTTTTTGTCGCGTGTTTTGACTGGCCTTGTTACGAACGAAATATCGTGCATTTCATCTTTCCGTAACTCACGTAGACCACATTTGTGTATCGTTTCGCCCGTCGCTTAAGATTGGCCTATCGCCATATTTAGTGCCTCCCAACTGTGTTAAATGTCGCCTTTGATATATGTCTCTGTCATGGCCGCCGGAACCGTGTGTCTTCGCCGCGAACTATCGTCCTCGTTTTCCGTTTAGTTCATGTTGTTTTCACGTCTCTCATCCTCCTTCTTTGGCAGTAATATATCTCAAATCGCGCATATCAGGTTTAATCATTTTCGGTGCTTGTACGTGACAGGCCTTTTTCAGGAGCTTATCGAGTTTAAAACCACTTTAAACGAACATGACCTCTGCTTACAGGCGGTGTGGAGCAAGCGTGACGTGTGCTGAGAGCAGGCTGGTGCACGGCACGGCGACGGTCTCCGCGCCGTCGTTCCGCTCACGCGCCACTCCCTGACCGGCCCGACTGCACTTTGACAATGGTAAGACTAACCTGAAGTCAACGGCGCTGACCAGACGCTGCTGGGGTCCGTGGGGCGCCGAGAGGTCGCGAGTCTTTGCGGTGGACACAGTTCAGCAGCAACCTCTCGCGCTGGTTATGCGCTACATATTGTCATCGCGTAAAGCCGGTGGTTAGTGATCTTTTGCGGTATCACCGTAGATATCTCAGTCAGTCAGATAAATCAACCAATCAACCAAATCGTGGCGCTGCCGCTCCCCCAAATGGCTGCTAAACAGCAGGAACACGCACGGTGTTTGAAGCGCGGCACGTCACGACTACTGGAATACAGTGTTCTACCGACAGAACTGCTCCGGCACGGTTTTACCCGATGTCTCGGTCAGAGCTGCAACAAACTGAACTCTTGGTGACAAAACTTCCACTAATAGGACTCTAACACGGTATTTTTATTGCACGACAGAGTTGCCACAGACCAAAACCTTCACACGGTAGTGCCTCCACACACAAAACGTTAGCCGTCAAAACTTTCACAATACACAAACTCCACGGGAAAAAATACTATTTGAGAAATGTACTGCGGTGTAAAACTGCTGCAGACAAAACTTTCACATGGCCGTATGTCTACGAACAAAACGTCTCCTTCCAAATATTCCACGCCAAGTATCTACGAACAGAACTCCTTCACGAAAGAAATTCCACGAGCAAACCCTCTCAACGCCAACGCCAACGCCAACGACATCGACATCGACATCGATATAGATATCGACATCGACATTGAGAACGACAACGACAACGACAACGACAACGACAACGACATCGACATCGACATCGACAACGCGTCTACCCAACACTTCCGCCGCACGAAGTGCTACTGGCATGACATCTGCGATGCAATGCTTCCACTGACAAAAATCTGCTGTTAAAGCTTTTACACAGCGTAGGCGTCACTGCCAGAACTTCCAGATGCCCCTGTCAAACAAAGAGGCCATTGTCGGTGTGAGGCGCCGTTATAGCCTTTACAAAATTGCAACAAAAGAGGTCCGGCAATATTGCTAGACCTCTTATGGCAGCGTTCTACGTCAAAACTGCTCGCGCGGTGTGTCATCACTGAGTTATGTTTACGTAAAAACCGCCAAAACTGCTCACACAATAACACTGGTGGGCTTCTCGTGCTTACAGAAGTCGCTTAGTTGCATGCGTGACTAAGCTCTTGCATTCATTTGTATCCATGCTTTTATTATGTACTATTTAATGAAATGCATTTCTGTAAAGTCGTGCATGCATTTAGTTTGATATAGTTTTCTACGCAAATTAACTCAGTTTATCCCATCCACCAAAGTTTAACTTAGACAATTGTCTAAATGGATAATCTATGAGCGTTTTTCCGGCTAACTGGCATTGCAGTCTAAATGGCGCCCAAATCTGCACGCATGTTTATGATCCCCGCGTTCACAATGTTTCTCTCGCTCTGCTGCTCGTTGGCCCAAACGCGTTATTTCACCCCGTCTGCAATGACCATATATATATATATATATATATATATATATATATATATATATATAATGTATGTATTTATGCTGTTAGTGGTCGAATGGAAGGGGTTTGGGGCAACATATATGAAGGAAATGCGGTCAAATGTTCGCTCCCTTCAAGCAGCCTAGAATAATGAATGTTCCTGGACAATCTGGAGGCATTTATATCGTTTAAATATGCCACACAACAGCTGACTAGTTCACACGGCGCCCCGTATCGACTAAAGCCTCTGACCACGCTGCAGTACGGACTGATACAAGCGTGCCTTCGGTCGTGGATGATCCAAGACTTCGGAGAAGACACCTGGACCAAGGTTCTGTGAGTAACGCGCCGTTCTTCTGTGGATGGCATGATTGTGGAATTGTGCTGTTTATTTGCGCTTCATGAAGGCGCTGAAACGCTGTTTCGAGTGACGCATGTCATCTATCGGGCATGCACCTCCGCGGGCATGTTAACCCACCGAAGAAATGACGCCTATGGTGTTCGTGACGATGTCCAGCGATTTGCGCCCAATCAGCCTACTCGACAAGAGTCGTCCAGTTGACTCCGGAACTTGCGCCGCCGCCAAGCCTTACGACTCAGTTCCTAAGGGATTGGAAAGTCACTCGATGGGGGAAACAGGTTCGTCTCGGACTCTTGACCGAGTGCCGCCTGGCGGCAGCGACAGAGTGTATTTTTAGGTCCGTTCTTTGCATGCAAAGTGATAAGTGTGACACCAAATTGCAAGAGTATTGCAGAATGCATGCCTCGGTCGTATTGCACATGCGTCGGAGACAGGGTCGGGGTGGGACCGTATCGTCGGAGCGGGACCGTTATCACTCTCAGACCAGGTGGTGCCGACGCCACGGCCCCCAGGCCAGTCCTGACTGGAGCTGACCTGTGGTCAGCGACCTCAGACCACTTGCTCGGACTGATCAGAGGCCGAAGCTTCACCCGTGGCCTGTCACGCTGTGCCGGCGGTGAGAATGAGAGCGTTCTTGGCGAACTGGGCGTTGCGAGTCAAACCCATACGAGCGTGCGAGATCGAAACCACACCGAGCGTGCGAGATCAAAACCATACGAGCGTGCGAGATCAAAACGTGTCCGCGACGAGCCGTGACTTCCGCCTTGGACGCCGTATATTTGTCATCCGGCCATGTGTTTTCAGGGCTGGTGCAGTCAAACGTTCAGGGCTGGCGCAGTCAAACGTTCAGGGCTGGTGCAGTCAAACGTTCAGGGCTGGTGCAGTCAAACGCTGAATAAGCGCACTATTGTCGAGTGTATTTCCACATACGTCAAGTCGATAAAAACGTAGGTACTGACTGGGGTGTGGCTCCATGTGGTCCCGGCGCGGTAGAGAACAAGGCACGTGTGAGGCGCGGCCTTTCGCTCCGTGCGTGCTGGGACGCCAGCTGCCGGCGGCGGGCGGCCTTGACAGGCAGTGAGGGCGACCCCGGAGGGGCCACTGGCCGGCTCGACCTGCCTCGCGCCACCAGCCAGCGTGCCAGTATGGAACGGCGACTGGTGCCAGACAAACATGCAGGACTTGTATGGCTACGGCAAGCGCAGTGTCGCTGCACTGTCACAACTGCCGCGAACTTTAGCGCCCTTGCGGGTCAGTACTGGCCAAGCGCGCCACCTAGTCCACAGGCGCTGCAAGAAGCTCACCGCTGATGTGCTACAAAACGATCGCCACCCAGCTGTCTGTCAGCAGCGCAGCTCTTGACACGGCACCGCGCATGAGCGATTTAAAACATCCGTTTGTCAAGCACATGAGCCGCAGGAGGGCAGGAGCTGCGAGAAATGGCCGATACGCGCTTGGCGCGAGAGAAAACACACCGCCTAAGGCACGCAGTTACTACAAGCGCGGGACAATAGTGGCGTGCCGAGGCGGTGAATGCTGTGAATATTTGAACTCCGGATCTCCACACTGCAAGGCATTGCCTGCATGGTGAGTGCAGCGCCAGATCAGCTCAGCCCGGCTCGGCCGTTCAAAACACTGCAGCTGGTCCTTTCCCGCCGCGTCACGACCCTGGTCTGCGTTGGTGAAGGCGGCGCGCACCAGTGCACCCCGCTGAGAACTCTGACAGATCTATCTCACAGCGAGGCGAAGCAATAACGTGCCTGAGTAACGAACACCTACGAACGGCAGCCGCGGCGACAGCGCCACCTACGCCACGACACCTCGTCGGTGGCCAGCCGAGCCGCACCCTCCGTGGGCCCGACCGACATCTACCGTCGCACAGCGGCGAACATACAGCGAACACACAGCGGAGCGGCCAACACGCCGAGCGGACTGAACACGGACCGTTGCAGACGCGGACACACAGCAGGCGCACGGCGAAACCCCGAGCAGGCCAAGAGGACTGACAAGCGAATCAGGGGATAACCCGGGACGCACGACAGACGCACAGCGAACTCACAAGCAGGCCAAGAGGACTGACAAGCGAATCAGGGGATAACCCGGGACGCACGACAGACGCGTAGCGAACCCACAAGCAGGCCGCGGCAGAACTGACAAGTGGACCAACACAAAACCCACGACACGCGGCGACCTCGCAAGCAGGCCAATTGTGCACACGAGAGGGCCGTCAACCGACACAGAGCGTGCCAAGCCAGCTGGCTAACCAGTGGCTCACGACGGCTGGCCAGCAGGCACCGGTCGGCAGAGCGGCCGGTCCGCAGAGGCCGGTCCGCAGAGAGGCCGGTCCGCAGAGGGGCCGGTCCGCAGAGAGGCCGGTCCGCAGAGAGACCGGTCCACAGAGAGGCCGGTCCGCAGAGAGGCCGGTCCGCAGAGGGGCCGGTCCGCAGAGGGGCCGGTCCGCAAAGAGACCGGTCCGCAGAGAGGCCGGTCCGCAGAGGGGCCGGTACGCAAAGAGACCGATCCGCAGAGGGGTCGGTCCGCAAAGAGACCGGTCCGCAGATAGGCCGGTCTGCAGAGGGGCCGGTCCGCAGGTAGGCCGGTCCGCAGGGGGGCCGGTCCGCAGGGGGCCGGTCCACAGAGGGGCCGGTCCGCAGAGGCCGGTCCGCAGAGGGGCCGGTCCGCAGAGAGGCCGGTCCGCAGAGGGGCCGGTCCGCAGAGGGGCCGGTCCGCAGAGAGGCCGGTCCGCAGAGGGGTCGGTCCGCAGAGGGGCCTGTCCGCAGAGAGGCCGGTCCGCAGAGGGGCCGGTCCGCAGAGGGGCCGGTCCGCAGAGAGGCCGGTCCGCAGAGGGGCCGGTCCGCAGGGCGCCACCTGGCAGCCTCCGGCGGCGTGGCAGTGGAGCCGGCGAGGGAGGCCTACGGCCGGGTTGAGGTCGAGGCCGCCACCCGCCGAGCGACGGTGGATAGCGCGCGTGCAGAGAAGTTACCAGGTGAAGACGGCGCGGGCCGATGGCCCCAGAAGGCCCCGGAAAGCGCGCGCCGGCGTGCTGGCGGTAGGGGGTGGTTGTCGCCAGTCCACGCGTCACGCGTTGATGGCGACGCTTTCTAGGCGGTCTGCATGGGAATGCTGTCGAACGCGTGTCCGGTCTTCAGCAGGCGGTAGAAGGCGAACACGACGACCAGCCACCAGGTGTAGATGATGAACTGGATGACAACGAAGACGAGTGGCACGACGAAGGCCTCCACCAAATCACTGACTTGGTCTTCCCTCTCCGCCTTATCCCAATCGATTACGGCTATGAAGAAGATCAGGCAGGCTGCGAGAATGCCCGCAGCGATGTTGCAGAGAATCGACCAGATCATGAAGGGCAGGGCCAGGAACCGGTTGTTCTGCGGAACAGAACGCGGGTCAGGACAGCTGGTTGACCGGCTGTGGAAGCCTGATCCTCAAGTTGGGTCAGACAGACGTTGAGAAGGCGACTGCGGGGCGGCTGCGCGACACTCGCATACAACACCAAGCCTCTAAATATTGCTATACCCCACAACCGCCATGCAACAGAATGCGCCAGGCTTCGAATCTCGCCAGCGCGCTCAGTGCAGACGTCAGTCCACTGCGGCTTCCGCACTGAGAAAAGCTCCCAATGCGTAAGGCAAATGACTATGACTTCAAACGTGTCGTCAAGCCTGGTCCCTGACGGCGAAGTGGTCAAGGGTCCGCCTGAGGCTGGCCAGACTGAAGGCTCGAAGCGCGGCACTGGCAGCACCGGAGCTCAGGTACCGATACTGCCGCGCGCCGAGCGGCCCCAGATCCCCCCCGTTCTACGTAACGCCTGCAGGCAACTGGAGGGACACCCGCTAGCAAGCTCTGCAGACATCACAAGCTCTGCCGCCTCACACATCCCGCACACGGACACCACATCCCGCACACGGACACCACATCCCGCACACGGACACCACATCCCGCACACGGACACCACATCCCGCACACGGACACATTTCCAACCGTAAGACGAGCGATGGCGACAATCCAAGACCGATCGTAACATGTGCCACAAAATAGTAACGTCCCCAGGCGCCCTCCTCAGCTCTCACCTTCTTCACGGCGAAGATGAGGGCGATGGCCACCAGCAGACAAACAATTGAAACACCCACCATGCCGCCCATCGTATGGCGCCTCGACTCAAAGTTTTCGCTGCGGAAAGACGGCAAACAAACACATCACCTATAGCAGCAGTATCAGTGCTAATGCGACAAAAGCTCAGTGTAACAAGGCTGGGGCAGCAAGGCAGCAGAATCACGACACAGACAAACGCCATTTTCTCTGGGTGAAGTTGGTGGATTTGGTGGGGTGGGGGTGGAGGGGCATACGGACAACGGTTCCAATTTCCAGAAATAGCAGCCATGGCAGGCTTCAGCCATAACGGTGACGAAATCGTAGACTGCAATATGCCTGTTGAGATCGTGCGGTAGCTCAAGGCTTTGAAGACGCCCTCCTTATCCATGCCCGTCGAGTTGAAATGACCGAATACCCCCGCCCCCAAGGTCATTTACATTACATCCAACCAGAGGCAGTAACAATAAGGCAGGGGCGACCAGATCCGTCCACATCTTTGGAGCATGTAACATTAGGTCTTTGACAGCCCAGCGCTCCTCTCGCCGCCCACGGCCGCCGTCGCCGACGGCGCGGCGGACACGCGGTCACTGAAGTCGTCACGGGCGTCTGAGCGGGCCAGAGCGGCTGCTGAGCGTCACGCGGTCACTGAAGTCGTCACGGGCGTCTGAGCGGGCCAGAGCGGCTGCTGAGCGTCACGCGCGTCGCCGGCTCTCGTGCGAGGAGCCCCTGGCAGATGGTCGGCGAATTCCCTGTCACGGCTTCTCAGTATCCCAGCAGTTTTGTATGGAACGGACATCCGCGCAGGACGAATTGTGTCAGGGAGCCTGATGACGAGTGCGGGACCGCTGTATGTGTATATATATGCGCACACACACATATACATATATCCAGTTGTGCAAGGTTTGCCGATAAACCACCGGTCTGAGCCCCAACTGATTTGGTGAAACACAAGTCTCATGCTAGTGGTGTTGAAGATTGAGCTGAGTCCGACCGGCGCTGCACGCTGGACCGAGTCCGGCACAGAGGGCGCTGAGAAACAGCGCCGGCTCGGCCAGTGGCTGAGCTCACTTACGAGACGTGCTTGTCGAAGGCATCATGTCCCACCAGCTGTATCACGTTGTCCTGAATCCTCTTCAGTTGCACGAACTTCCAGATGAAGCCGACAATCGACAGCGCAGAGAGCACCTGCCGGACCACGTCAGATCATCAGGCATGGGATCATCAAGGATCGGATCATCATGCATGGGATCATCAGGGTTCAGATCATCAGGCGTGGAATCATCAGGGATCGGATCATCAGGGATGGGTGCCGAGCATCAGCATTAACTCAGCAACTCGCCCGGAGGCGTACGCTTCGCGGGGGAAACGCAGCGCTCTGGCGGAAGACGCCTTGGGTGGGGTTGAGAGAGGAGCAGCGTTCTGGTGGGGGACGTGGAGGAGGTGCAGCGCTTTGTCGGGGGACACCGTGGATGGGGAGGTGGGAAGCACAGCGCACGGACGGGGAACGCGGAGGGGGGGGGGGGGGGGCACAGCGCTCTCGCGAGGGACGTGGGGGAAGCGCAGCGCTCTGGTGGGGGTTGTGCGGGGGGATGGCGGCGGAGCGTTCTGACAGAAGACACTGTGGGGGGGGGGGGGGGGGGGAGCGTCGCAGCAATTTGGCGAGGGACGCTGGGGGAGCTGAAAATTTACACATGGTACACCACGTTTCCAGTAATTGGTTTCAGAAACACTTGTGACGCATCTGTCCATGCTTCGGATCCAATTACAGCTACATTAATTGTATGCAACGTTGAAAAGCTGCGGAAACATCCCCGGCCGGTCGCTGCAGCCCACATTCACGAGTTAGCCCTTGCCCTGATTCCCCTTTTCACAACGCGATTTGATAGGCGGGATGCCACCTCATCCCATTTCCGAACTGAGAACGATTAGAGCCTCGCGAAAACAAAAAGTGGAATGGTCTCACAGGAGCTCGCAGTTGGTATCGTTGTAACGTGCTCAATAGTCGACCCTATAATGCCAGATGAAACGTAAATTTTCCCCAAATATTACACTTTTTCGTCTTTGCATGCCCATATTCACGCCATTACACCACGTAGCGGCGTGCACCTTTCATAGTAATATTCGTGATCTAACTCGGCGCACATTTGTCCGCGGCTTTGTGTTTCAGGCATGTATTTATTTTGTATGCCTTTGAGCATGTAACAATGTCGGCCCGCCGCGTGCGATCGGCGGATCCGTCGGTGGCCACCCGCCCCCCGCGCCATCCACGGATCGCCGTCCACTGTTCGTAAAAAACGCCGCTGCCAGAACCAGAAAAAAACTAGACACCTTTTTGTGTCCAAACACTCGCAACAAACTTCCTATATGTTTTCGAAAATTTGAGAGCGATTTAACAACATGCCGGCAAAATGCACACAGAAAACCTTAGGGGGGGGGGGGGGGGGGAGATATCGACCCCGCTCTAATCAGAGCGAAGGTTAAGTCATGAGAGGCAACAATGGGTATAACTGGCGCCCCGTACTCCTCCGCCGCGCGTTCTGCTACTGCTGGTTTAAGGTACCTGACCCTGACCCCCGTAGCCTGCGCCGGTCAACCAAACCTAGCGCCGGCTTTTTACTGGCCGGGCTGGGACACACGCCGCGGAAGAGTGAGCCGCGTCCAGTGGGCGACAGTAGCTGGATGCCACTAGCGTGGAGCCCACGGAGCGGATGAGCTGCTCAAAAGCGAAACGCTACAAGCTGGCTTCAAGTGTCTCCAAAACAGGACTGTCGAGAGTTGTTGGGTAATAAATGCCATCACACTCGTCAACCATCATCTGCCAGGCGCCAGCCGCTAGCCCACCAGCCGCGCCCGGGGCCTCCTCGCGGCATAAGCGGCGCGATCGCAGGCTTGCCGCTGCCGCGCGCGGTCGGCTTTCGTGACGGCGGGAATCGATCAGTGGGTAGGGCCATTCCCTGTTGTGACACGCCCCCTGCCGCACTGTGCCAGCCTGCCTGCCGCACTGTGCCAGCCGAGCCGCCGCCACCGCCGCCGCCGCACGGACGGCACGCAGACGCAAAGGCGGAGCCAGCGAGACGTGTCGGGGAGGGGTGCTGGAACGCAGGAGCGTGGAAAGCAAAACGTGTGGCGGGGGGGGGGGGGGGATAGTGCGCAGGGACTCACAGGCACGGGCCGCGCCGCCGCCGCCGCCGCCTCGGCTGACCTTGAGCGCGGTCCCGCCTCCGTGGCGGAGTACACGCCGGCGAGGAATGCGCAGAGGTGGCGGCGGCGGCGGCGGCGCAGAGGCGGCCGCCGGCGCCTTATGCCAGGCTAACAAAGTCCGGAGCTGGGCGTGCGGTGGCGCTGACAGGCTCAGTTCGGGAACAGCCACGCGATGCCCGGCTGATGGCGATATAGGACAAGCGTCGGATGATGCCATTTATGATGGAAAGATGATGCCATTGACATCTGCTGGGTGGTTCCGACAGAACTTGCACGAGGTCTTTTCCTTTTCTACTACACCTCGCGAATCCCTCCAGCCCATGTAATCCAAAGTTTTCCAAGCACAAAGTCATGAAACGCCTTTGCAGGAAGATACTAACGCAGCACCTCCTCCACCGCCCGTGATGTGAGGTTTGGCGCACATCTCAAGAGAAGAACAGGCTGGCCTGCTGTGCGGCTGACCACATCCAGCCCGCGGATGGCCACATCCAGCCCGTGGATGGCCACATCCGGTCCGCGGCTGACCACATCCCGCCCAGCCGGCCAGGGTTGCGGCAAGCAACCCCGGCCGGCAAGCCTGAGTTGCGGCAAGCGGCAGGCAGCCAGGCCACGGCCCGGACTGTCAATGTTCGATCGACGAGTCAGCGAAGCGGGTTGCAAAACACCGTCACTAACCGGAAGCGCGCCTGAATTCCAAAAATAGACCCGTTTCCCAGTGAACGCACAAACAGGGGCGGTACGGAGTCACTGGATCTCCAGAACGTCCTCAAAAGTTATGGACAGGATCCGTGGTACTCAAGGATATTTCTTCACGATTTGGCAGTGGGTCCCAGATTATCCGAAACAAATGCATACTGGGCTGCCATGGACGAAATAGCAATCCCTCGTCTATGTTCATGTCTCAGCAACTAGTTCTTCAACATGTTTATGTCGTTTCATCGGCCATTTTTTGATCAATCCTTCGCCTCATGAAGGATTTCGTAACTTGTGTTAAATGTCCCTTCTGCTATCTGTTTCTGTCACTCCCGCCGGCATCATGCACTCCCGTCCTTTCTCCTCTCGTCCTCTCTCCGTCACCGACCCCGGCGCGGCTCTGTCGGCGATGTGTCTCCCTCGCGGACGCCGACGCGGCTCGACCGACGTCGGTCTGGCATCCTCACGTTTTTTGTCGTTTTGTGGATGTTTTTGGCTGGTGTCTGTCGAAGGCCACGCCGCACCAGTGCTCGAAAAGTCGGTAGGGAGCAGTAGGCCGCTGTCCTGTCCGGACCGCTGTCCCGTCCGGACCGCTGTCCTGTCCGGACCGCTGTCCCGTCCGGACCGCTGTCCCGTCCGGACCGCTGTCCTGTCCGGACCGCTGTCCCGTCCGGACCGCTGTCCCGTCCGGACCGCTGTCCCGTCCGGACCGCTGTCCTGTCCGGACCGCTGTCCTGTCCGGACCGCTGTCCCGTCCGGACCGCTGTCCCGTCCGGACCGCTGTCCCCATTCCCAGCACTCGTACCGTCGCCGTATCTCCCTTTCTGTCCTTCAAATAGGGTACAGAAGTGCATACACACACGTAAGGGACTACGCACTTCGAAAACTGATCAATGGCCGACATAAAGCCTTGCAGATACGTTTCAGACAGGGCCCCGACTTTGAGATATGACGGCAGCATTTTAATAGGCCCTGGGGCTCTCTTGAAGACCAAAAAAAAACCGTGAAATTTAAGCAGCCCCACATCGCAGTCTCTTAGTCAAAATTGCGAATCCCAAACGAAAACTTCGAATTCCAGGTGGCGGGCCACCACGGTACGATCATTTTTACACACAGTAGATTCAGGTGCGAGCTTAACATAAAATAACGGTGACTTACAAACATAATGTTTTACCTCCTGCCCTGCCTCAACTAGCGTTCACCGGAGGCAGCAGCGGCAGTGGCTTCCACTCCGTGTGATCACTTCTTGCAACGTGCAACGTGCCTTTTTGAGCGCACAAGCCGTCAGATATCTTTGCACACCTTGATGATTACGCGCGCTTAGTGTTCGTGCTCAATACTTTCACGTGCGTTACGCAAGGGCTGAAAGCAATGCGACGAAGCGTGATAAGTCGCTGTTACTTGACACACAACGCGCCACAGAGCGATGATGCATGAAGGAATCCACGAAGTAAAGGACACCCCAATACACATGTCCCGTTCCGTCATGAGGTATTTTGTATTGGTTTCAGTCGTGGGCGTGGGTGCTAAAACAATATGTTAATGATTATGCGCAAATCCCGGCGTTACAAATTGCTTCAGGCTTGTTGTGAACGTCGTCACACGTCACGAAGTATGATATGACGTCATTACATTTTTCGTTTGGCGCAATGAAATTTTACTTGACGCTTTTGAACTAGCTTCACCTTGAATGACCCGAACCACCTGTACCTGACAGAATGCAATATCGTGCAGCATGCTAAAATTCAACAAATCAGTGCAAGGAAATCCCTCGATAGGCGTACCCTGCGGAAGTATTTTCTGCAACACAATGTTCAGGACGGTTCCAACACATCTTCTGCATATTTTGCAATGTTCAAGCAGCATGCGTTTAATGGCTCAGACGCTATCGCAGGAAAACTGTGGAATCCTGCGGCCTCCCTCGCGCTGGGCAGATTAAATTTCATGAGTACGTGTAAATGTGTTGAATGGTGAAATAGACCCTCGATGGTCCCCCGCTTATGTTTGTGGGCAGGGTCGTCGCTCGGGTTGGGTCCCACCTTGTCCCTGGCGCGTGCGGCGGCTCGGACTGTGGAGACCAGAGCCAAGCGCTCTGCACCGTGGCTGAAATACCGTTTTTGCCCTCCGGGTGCAAGTGCAAATATTTGCGTACCACGGTTTGCGGTGAGACTGAACTTCGTAATCTCATTGAGTCATAGCGATAGAAATTCGTATATGCGAGCATATTGCCAGAAGCTGATACCTGTGGCATTGTACCACACATTAGTGTCACGTGCTATCCAATGAAACGC